AGTTAGGAAGATATTGGGTGCCCTTCAAGTTCAGAATTTCAAGGTCATTATTCAAGTGATCAAGGTCATGTGGGAAAGAAATCTCTTCCCAAAACCACAATGATTATTCATTTCACACAATAAAAACTGCATTTTAAAATGCACAAAACAGTTTGCATGTGGATGATTTCTAGTTTTGATGACTAATGTCATCTTTAAAGAAATTTATTGAATGGAACAAAACAATTAAAACTGATATTATGCTGTGTAACCAGCTGATCAAAAATTATACACAGTGGTCATAACAGCCTTTGAATAAGAATGGAATATCCCTTACATAACACAGTTTGTTTGTCAGTAGTATTTTTATGCTTGTGATAAGCCAAGGCATTTCGTTAATATTCAAGGTTATCACCTTCAAAGTAAGTATTTAATATAACCATTTTATTTACAACGATTGGAATGTTTTTAATTATACATGTAACGAATAAAATATACTTTATGCTTACAAAGATAGGCTTTTGCTAATCTGAAATCAGTGTGGAGATCTACTGCACTACACTCAGCACAAAGCGTGAACAACATTCGGATTTTCAACACCAATGTCAGTCAAGTCAGCGCCTCTATGTGGTTCAGAAACTTGGCCTGTCACGAAAAGCACTTCCAACAAACTACAGACATCCATCAACAGCTGCCACCTACTCTGTCTCGATACTGAAGATCAAATTGCCAGAAGGAATAAGCAACAAGGAACTCATTCTGTCTGGCAATGAACCAACTAACAACCTATCACTCAACAAACATGCAGAATAAGACAATGGAGATGTATTAGGCATAAACTGAGAAAGCCGTCTGGGGACATCAAAAACCAGGCCAGGCCCTCGAGTGGAACCTAAATGGGAAACGACGAGCTAGGTGTCCCACCTGAGGGTGACATAGAGGAGATGATGTGAGGAAGAAATGAAAGTTTGTGAGCAGTCGTCGCGTCAGGTTGAAAAAGTTTGCATAGGACAGAGTGCAATGGATGCGTGCTGCTGAAGCCGTATGTTCCACTAAGAACCCAAGGGAAAAATAATATATTAATAGTCAGAAAGATAAGTATTATTATGTTAACAAGTTGATTAGCATAGATTTAACATAATTTCCCATATACCTCTCATATGAATTTCCTTGAAATTATGTGGAAACAATGCTCAGGTGGGTACATGAAACCTGTCTCACAGTAACAGGCTAACCTTCAACTCTTAAGATGCTTGAGGTTCAGTAAAGCAAAAGACAGATGAAAAAAATGCTTCTTGCAAATGAAGTTACACAGCATATATTTATTTTGAGGTTAATGAGGATTTTACCCATAGGGAAGTATTCATCACTAGCTGACATAAATTGAAGGGGAATCATTGAAAACTTACATGTACCGAATAGCTTTTTTTATACTAGTATGGGGCTCTGAAGAAGTATGAACATACGACCCCACCAAAGATCAAACTCAGGACCTTCAGGTATCACGGAGACCACGTGAAACATTCAGCCATGACCCATAGTTTCTTCTTCTGTCTGTTTATGACACTGGAAGACTATCCACCTAGGTCTTCAATTGGCATCCACTTCAATTCTTATTGGCTGATCCCAAAGATCACGATTTCTCATCAAAACGTCAACGTAACCATCTCCAGGCATGTCACAAATGAACATTATACAGTTAGGTATTTTCAGGCTAATGGCGATTTTGTTTTAAAAGTAGTATTCGTCACGAACAAACATCAATTGGGAACTCCTCAGCAGTACATGATGGTAGAAGTAGGAAAATATGAACCATTGGATTCTAACCTAGTAACTCAATAGTAATATGGTGTCCATGGAACGTCAAGGTCCTGAGTTTGATTCCCTGTGGGTGCGCACTGCTGATGAGTCATACTCTAGAACGAAGTTCTATCAGCTATGGAATGATTTCATAACTGATGGAAGCCAGTAATAAAAAAAATCCCTAAAAACCTGCAAATTCATTTAATGTACGATCAGAAACTGAAGCTTATCTCAATCAACGTATTTTAGACGAAAGCGTAATATTCATCATACTCTACTCTACTGCACGGTTAGCAGTCATCAAAACGTCAACGTAACCATCTCCAGGCATGTCACAAATGAACATTATACAGTTAGGTATTTTCAGGCTAATGGCGATTTTGTTTTAAAAGTAGTATTCGTCACGAACAAACATCAATTGGGAACTCCTCAGCAGTACATGATGGTAGAAGTAGGAAAATATGAACCATTGGATTCTAACCTAGTAACTCAATAGTAATATGGTGTCCATGGAACGTCAAGGTCCTGAGTTTGATTCCCTGTGGGTGCGCACTGCTGATGAGTCATACTCTAGAACGAAGTTCTATCAGCTATGGAATGATTTCATAACTGATGGAAGCCAGTAATAAAAAAAATCCCTAAAAACCTGCAAATTCATTTAATGTACGATCAGAAACTGAAGCTTATCTCAATCAACGTATTTTAGACGAAAGCGTAATATTCATCATACTCTACTCTACTGCACGGTTAGCAGTCATATGCAGGAAGTGTATTATTGTTGTTCTTATTATTTGTCCCTTGGGTTCCTAGTGGAACATAGGGCTTGAGTAGCACGCCTCCATTCCACACAATTCTTTACAATCTTTTCAACCTAAAGCCCACAAGCTCTCATTTCTTCCTCACACTATCTACTCCATGTCATCCTCAGCTGGCACGCCCAACTCGTCGCTTCCCTTCTAGGTTCCAGTCAAGGGCCTGGCTTGTGATCTCCCCAGTCGGCCTTCTCAACGTATGCCCAATCCCAGCCATCTCCACTTACTTCCACTGCATATTTGTTGAGCAACAGCTTCTTGGTTGGTTCGTTGACAGCCAGCCACAATGACTTCCTTGTTGCTTTTTCTTTCTGGCCAGCCATCTCAGCTTCAGTATCGAGCCAGTGTAGGCAGTTGTTGATGAATGTCTGTAGTTTGTTGGAAATGCTTTTCATAACACGCCAAGTCTCTCAACCATCACATACAAGCACTGACTTGACTGACATTGGTTTTGAGAATCTAGATCTTGTTCACGCTTTGTGCTGAGTGGAGTGCAGTAGATCTCCACACTGATTTCAGGTTAAAAACGCCTGTCTTGCTGCCTTTCCGATCCTGGCTGACTTTGGCGTCCATATCTGTGCCGCCGCCACCTGTAGTTGAAACACTGCTGCCTTGTCTAGTTAGGTGAAAGAGGCTACTTCATTTAAGTTTCTCCCATTCATGGTGATTGGAGCTTGTTGCTGGTGGTGGTGTTGGTTGGGTATCTTCATCACCTCTACCTCTGTCTTCTCTACGTTCACTTGAAGTCCCGTCTTCCTTCGCTGCCTCATCTCTTCTGTCAAGTGGTTAGTTTTCGCCTGTAGATCTTTAAGTTTGTGTGACATTAGACACAAGTCATCGGTGAAATCTCAATCTTCTAGGTTCTTTTCTGCAGCCCAGCATATGCTCCCCTTCTCGCTCCTCAGGGTTCACTGCATAATCCAGTCCATTACAATGGAAGAAGTGTAACTTATCATATTTAAGAATTGTGTAAAGTAAAAAATGCACAAATATGTGAACGATATCAAAAGATGTGATAAAACTAAGACTTTATAGCATCTGATGAAGATTTTCATTGGGATCTATCCAGTAGCCTAATAAAAAATGAAGAGAATCTTCCCAGTTATGATATCTTTACAGAATGGTGACTTGCTTGCTCATTCAAAGCAAGAAGATGACATTATGAACACTATGATGATATGTTGATACATAGTAGACAATATATATATATATATATATATATATATATATATGCGTCGACCGAGAAGTAATTTGGAAACTGCTTCACTACTACGGAGTACCGCAAACCTTTATCCGCCTCATCCAACAACTATATGAAGATGCCACATGCCAAGTAATTCACAATAGGAAGCTCAGTGATGCGTTTGAAGTGAAGACAGGAGTGAAACAAGGTTGCCTACTATCCCCCATGATATTCCTGATTGTGGTCGACTGGATCATGCAGCAAACAGTAGGCAGCAAGAAGAGGGGGATACGCTGGACTGCGGAAAAGAACCTAGAAGACTTGGATTTCGCCAACGATGACTTGTGCCTGATGTCACATAAACTTGAAGATCTGCAGGCAAAAACTAACAAGTTGATAGAAGAGGCAGCGAAGACGGGACTTCAAGTGAATATACAGAAGACAGAGGTGATGAAGATACCGCACCACCACCATCAACAACAACAACAACAAACTCCAGTCACCATCAACGGGAGAAACTTAAAGGAAGTAACCTCCTTCACTTATCTAGGAAGCACTGTCTCAACTACAGGCGGGACGGACGAGGACGTCAAAGTCAGAATCGGGAAAGCAAGACAGGCGTTCATTAGCCTGAAACCAGTGTGGAGATCTTCTGCACTCAGCATGCCAAACAAGATACGGATTTTCAACACCAATTCAGTCAAGTCAGTGCTCCTGTATGGTTCAGAGACTTGGCGCGTCACGAAAGGCATTTCCAATAAACTACAGACATTCATCAACAACTGCTTACGCTTTCTCGCTACTGAAGATCAGATGGCCAGAAAGAATAAGCAACAAGGAACTCTGGGAACGAACCAACCAAGAACCTATCACGCAACAAATATGCAGGAAGAAGTGGAGATGGATTGGCCATGCACTGAGAAGGCCGACTGAGGACATCACGCGTCAGGCCAGTTGCTTGAGTGGAATCCCCATGGGAAGCGACGAGTTGGGTGTCCGTGGTGAGGGTGACATGGAGGAGATCGTGCGAGGAGGAAATGAGAGCTTCTGGGCTGTCTTGGGACCAGGTTCAAAAGATCTCAGAGAACAGGATGAAATGGAGACGTGCTACTGAAGCCCTATGTTCCACTAGGAACCCAAGGGACTAATAATAATATATATATATATATATATATATATATATATATATATATCCATTTAACAAAAGACGAAATACAACTTACCCAGTACATGCTACACCACGTCTGGACAATTTTGAACCAGTACTAGACTGTATAACATTAGGTTGACTAACTTTCTGATCATTTTGTAACATAATATCATTCAAATCAGTATCAGTTGATTGTTGAATTTTTTGTTCAATACTAACTCGAGATGGTGATATAGGAATATTAGATGATTTCATTTTTGATGATATTCCTGTAGAATTCAATGTTTGTTTACTATCTCTATAATCAAATAATGAACCACTTATAAGGCTAGTTGTTGTTAAACTTGTTCCACTTTCAATACTTTTACCACCAACACCACCACCACCACCACCACCACCACTAAGACTACCACCAGTACTTGTACTAGCTGTCGATTCAATATTTTGTACAATATTAATTGATTGACTGGATGATGATGATGGTTGAAGTTTTGTTGCAGTCATCTGTTTCAAAGAAGGATTCATATGAACTTTTGAATGAGAGTAGGATGAAGAAAAAGACATTAATGAATCTTGTTCAGATATAGCCAGTTCTGCTTTACGTTCAATAATCTATAGTAGAATTGTTAAAAAAAAAATTTCAGTTTATAAAAAGAGAAAAACAGGTTAACAACAAGTGAAAATAATTTAAACAGTTATCAACTATTATTTCTAGTATAATTCAATAACATGGTTTAAGGCCAATGTTCAATTATATATATATATATATAATTGAACATTGATGAATAGTATTACTGAAAGCAATAAACGATTCTTATTGGTTGACAAATTAGCGCCACATTCATCCTTCAATTTATAAGCCTCTACATAAGTCACCTATAGTTAGCGTATACATGAATAAAACAACTTTCTATCATCCATGATAGAAGTGATCTACTTCTCTTATGTAATTTTCATATACATATATATATATATATATATATAAACACTAGATAGAAGTATACTATCCAGTAGTAACAGCACATGAGTTGTTATTAACAAAATAAGATATTGAATAGTGAATCTAAACTGTGGGTTGCTAAGCTACTTAGAATGCGGAAGGACTGAAGTTTAAAAAAACCAAACATATAACAACTTATGCTATATTATCTCATCGTCAACTAATTTATAATATTTCCTTATTATTATTATTATTATTATTATTATTATTATTTGATGAGAAAGGAATATTAAAAAAAACCATTTAAATGTTTTTCAACAGTTTTTAGTGGATTAAGAACATTGAAAATAATGTAATTATCCTAATGCATGATAATATCCAATGTATATACATAAACAGACGAAATACGTACACTCCCTGAGCATAAACTGATTAGTAGTACATATTTGAAAAAGCATTGGAAAGAATAATCATCATCACTTCTTCCTCATAGGCAGATTCACAAATGAAACCGCTGTATACTCATTAATTTTGACGGTTCACCTCAAGTTTATGACTTCAATTGCGATTGTCCCGAGAAATGTTAGCATTACATGCTGTTTGTATCCAAACATACAGACTTTCCGACTAATAGCACCCACTCATCTCGCAGAGAAAAGAACAAAAACTGACCTCATATGAAGCGCCAACCTTGAAGACAATATTGAATGGTTTAATGATGAGACCTTACACTTCATGGGCTGTAAAATGAGAACAGTTTTTGGACAGAGTCATAACTTCAGCTTAATTTATCCTTGTGAATTTGTTTCCAATGGCACTGAACCAATCAATCACTACATGCTGCATGATACCGAGTGACACTAGTTCCAAGCTTTTCCATCGGTCCATAACATGATTTGAGTCTAGTTTTACGTGCTGTCTATGAACAGCATTAACGTATTGACTATTCACACCTTTTTAAGCCTTACTACTGTTCGGCGTTTGATATCCTATGTACGTTTACTGATTATGCGACTCATTAATTTAAGTGTAGAGGCCTAATCACAGGTGTGTGCTTAAAGCTCATGCTGGATGATAAAGCCTGTGTTATTATTCACTACTGTTATGCAGCAAAAGGGTTAGTATCGAATATTTTTAGCCGGCAACAGTTGAATAACTGCATCCTAGCAGACTATGAATAATATACCAATGTATCCTTTCTTACTTTTCTCAGACTCACAAACAACAATAACGTTCAGATGTTGCCTGTACAAACGGTATTTGTTCGTATAATTTATTATTCGAAATATATTATTATTAATTGTTACATTCACAACTAAGTGGATGTACTGACAGAAAAACGTGTAACTCGAAGATACAGTAGGTCGTAGTAACAACAGTATGTGGTCTTGAAGAGTTTTAAAAGGGGGCGGGGGAACAGTTCCAAACTGTTGTGACCGAATGGTGGGGTTGTGTGCGTGGGTATAATGAATACTGAGACTCAATAGACACCTCATCTGAATACCTTTACGATTGACCTCCCTCAACACCTCCTGCTTGAATCAGCTGCAGAAAAATCAGAAGACAAAGACAGCCTGTGACTGCAAGGACATCGACAACTATTGGGCAAATACATGACGTATATGTATTTACAAAACTCCCAGAAAGTGAAGCCATAAATGAACCAATCAGATTTCTCGTATGAGGTCGAATTTCTTCAATCAGGTTCTCATTTTAGCGAACGTATAAATCATGACGTGGACATGATCTGATCATGACTTGAAAACAACTACCCTATTGGCTGCCTTTCGTTGCTACGTAATACAAACAATTCTCTACATCATGTTAATCCATTGTGAATACAGCGCAGAAAATCAATTGACTATTCCCGAATTAACCAACAGAACTAGAACATTGTTATTCATGAGTCTAAAAAATCATGAATACTACTATCATGTAACCAAGCCATAAATAATTTTCAAATCACGGAATCCCTACTGGACTGTTAATTTTACAGAGTTAGGTATGAAATTGAACACTATTGTTTATTGACACTTATAATCTCCCATTGTTATACTGAGTCGAATTGTTCAACCTCCGCTTGTCACGTAGCCTCCTATGAGGAGGTCTTGCTACTGCATCGATATTCATAAGATTTTAGTCTACTTAGCGGCTAGCAGTGGAATCTAAGTGAATAATATTGTTCCCACCGAAACTCTAACCCAGTACCCATCACTTCAAACGCCGAAATGTTATCGACTTAGCCACTAGGACACAAGAGCCACCACTTGTGCAACGGGTATTAGCCGTCGTTTACTGATACTTGTAATTTCCCTCAGTTATACAGTATCGCCTCAACTTCATCGACTTTGAAAAGCCCTTTGTAGCGTCGACCGAGAAGTAATTCGTCACCTGCTCCAACACTACGGAGTGTCACAAGTTTTCATAAACCCCATTCAACAGCTATGTGATGACTCAAAATGCCAAGTGACCAAAAATGGAAAGCTCAGTGATGCCTTTGAAGTAAAGGCAGGAGTAAGACAAGACAGGATCGGAAAGGAAAGACAGGCTTTAATTAAACTGAAATCAGTCTGAAGATCTACTGCACTCAGCACAAAGCGTGAACAACATCCGGATTTTCAACACCAATGTCAGTCAAGTCAGTGCTGCTATATGGTTCAAAAGCATTTTTAACAAACTACAGATATTCATCAACAGCTGCCGCCAACGCTCACTCGATACTGACACTGAAGACTAGATGACAAGAAAGAATAAGCAACAAGTAACTCTAGCCTGGTAACGAATCAACCAACAACTTATCACCCAACAAATATGCAGGAGGAAGTGAAGATGGATTAGGCATTAAATGAGAAGGCTGACTAGGGAGATCGCATACTAGGCCAGACCGTCGAGTCGAACCCAGATGGGGAACGACGAGTTCGGCGTTCTAGGGTGACCACATGGAGGAGACAGTGTGAGGAAGAAATGAAAGGTTGAGGGCAGTCGTGGATTTAGGTTAAAAAGACTGGAGGAGAGAGAGTGAAATGGAGGCGTGTTACTGAAGCCCTACGTTCCACTAGGAACCGAAGGTAAAAAATAATAATAATAAATACTGTATCGCACTGCTCGACTGATGTTGACAGACAGACTTCTAGGGGCAAAACCCACATTCTGCATTCCAGTGCAACACAATTAATCTCACAACAAGATTAGACTCTCTTTTCATTTCCGTTGTCATCTTTATATTTAGACTGTCAAGTGTAAAAACCAGAAGAGACAACAATGAAATTAAATTGTATCACTTCATTTCATTTCATTCTCTTCAAATCCCAATTCTCACTCCTTTTCATATATACAACCCTTTGTGACTTTCTACAATTTTTCACCTCAACTATTATATATCTCGCTCGGTCTACTCTTTATTATCACCTATTGCTTTTCTTTAAACCTTTTCTTCTTCTTCTTCTTCTTCTTCCTCTTCAGTAGTTGTCATTGCCATTAATATCATTGAAAAACGATCAGCATTTATATCTCAACTCAATGCGAATCATCTTTTCAAGAAACATTAAGCATATATAACTACTGCTCGCCTTGAAAGATCAACTTTTGTTAAGGGTAAAACTGTTTCCAATATTCAATTAAGACATTTTCTAGAAATTCAATGGAGAGGATATTATATTTGTCAGTATCTGGGTTAGATGAAAAAAGAATAACAACAGGAATAGTGATGATTAGATTCCGTTTTGTTTTATCTTAGAAGTTAATTGAAGTCTAAGACATTAACCACGATGGATGCCTCTGTCGAACCTGTAGAACAAGTGGATAAACAAACCAACACTTATGTAAACGAAAAATCCCTTATCGAATGTGTAATAAGATTATCACCTGGATGGTCAATAAAAGTCCTAAATTCTTGAGAAATATGAGATGAAGCTATCAGATTGGTTGAAGACAAAACATCGATGGGATATACCATTCTAAAAATCTTTAAAAATAGTCAAGATCATTGTAAATATCTATTAACTGTTATATTTTGCATATAATTTGACTTTTTGCAATACACCTTCTGTTATCATTGTATAAGTAGTGGCTCTCATATCTCACTGGCCTATTGGATAATATTTTGACCTTTGAAGTGATAGGTACTGGACTCCAGTCTGAGTGGTAACAACATCACTCACTGAGGGGTGCAGATACATACAGATAACGAGTTCAAAATAAGATGAAACGGGCGTTCTGGACTACAAACCTCAAAATTAATTACCAGTTCATTTAGTACTCGGCAAAAGTCAGCTATATATATGAGATTGTAACCGTCTATATCTTTGTATTTCATGTATATTTGGGAAAATGTGCTAGGCAGTGGGTTTCATAGCTTAGTTTGATCACTTTCTTCCTTATTTCTCTACGCTACCTCTATGTTTATGTGTTGATAAGAGGAGTAATATCTACTAAGATCGCTACGATACAATATCAGGTCCAGTGTTGCTAGACCATAACGAAGATTTCAAAGCATCATTCGTTTAATTTTATAGATGACCTTTTTATTAAGCTTGACGAATAACATAAATGTCTTATTCATGTATGAGAATGCATACACTATAAAACATTGTTTCTCACAATATAGTTGTTATTGTATCATACATGAAAAACAAATATAATTTCCAAGAAGGGACCTACGGTACACTACTGG